ATTATGGGAAAATGTTGGGGTGCCTGGGAGTTATATCTCTATTTGTCTGTGTGTGTGTGTGTGTGTGTCCCGGGTCCCCGCCAGCGCTCGTGGGTGCGCCTTGGCCTCGGCCCCGGCTGCTGCCACGGTCTCCGTTGCCCCGGCTGGCCGCTCCGGCCTGCTCTACGCGGAACTCTTCCACGTCTGAGCGTTTCCCCTTTGTCCTCCCCCCCGCGCGGCCGCACTCATTTTCTACCCTTCTCCTTGCGCGCCAGACAAGTTGCTTGTCGGTTGCCCCGAATAGCCACACTCTGGAGCGGACTGCCCCTGCCTCTCCGCATGCGGAAACCTGTCGTCAGGCCCGCCTCCCCCCCCCCGATAGGTCGGACGTTTTTGATTGGCGTCCCGCGCCGTTGGATCTGGCCCGCCGCGTTTCGGTGCGAGACACCTCACCACGTCCCGATGGTCAAGCGTCAACGTGCCGAGCGTTTCCAGGCTCCCCGCCCCGCGGATCGGAGCGACGCGCTACCATTTCGCAGCGCATGGCGTGCCGTTGGGGCCGCCGCCGCGACACTTGAAGCAACTACTCCCGACCGTGGCCTTGCGCTCGTGCAGACCCGGGGGGAATGGGGAGGGCGAGGCAGGGTTTCAATGTGGCGGTTCTCTTTCATAAGGACCGTGGTATTGGGGCGAGGCGGTGTGCGCAGGCATCCTGGCGGCTCCACAGTTTTCGCGGCTGTTCGCGAAGACCTCCCAGGAGTTGTTTCCTAACAGCGCTCCCCGTTCCAGACAAGTCCCCGCGCAGTCGGAGAATTGGCGAGCCAGGGAATGGGCTGGTGGGCGCAGGAGGCCACGGGAGACAGTAGTGGAAAAGTTTGCCTCGCCCACGGAGGACCCAGCTCGTCTCCCTCTACAAGGGGGAAATATCCAAGAACGGCTTCAAACATAGTCAGGGGACGACTTGTTGCCCACTTTTGAACACTGTTGGGGGGCATTTGTAGGGGTATGCCTTTTTTTTCGTCTCACATCTGCCTGTCGGGGGACCTGCCCGACCTAATTTTGCTGCTGCCCGACACAGAGAATCGGCCAAAATCTCTTCTCTCGAGGGCCCGCGCGGATTTTTGTGGATCTGCGCCGGAGCCCCCTGCAGCGGCGCCTTCGGCGTCCCTCCCTCCCTGGCGCGTACCGCGCGCCAGGTTGGGGGGGGGTGCCCGCAGATCTAAGGACCTATGTTTGTGCAAGTGTTCCTTTCTCTAGTTCTAAGCCGGGCCTTTCCCTCTACAGGAGGCTTATTCAAAAATAGTTTAAAAAATGGTCGGGGGACGAACTGTCGAGATGTTTGACATTTTGTTACAATGTTTTCCGAATATGTTTTCATTTGTCGTTCAAAATCAGCCTGTAGGGGACATGCCCGACCTAATGCAAGTGTTTCTTTCTCTAGAGGGGCATCCTGGAGGCATCGCGCGGCGCGCAGTAGTTTTTATCATCTAGTCCTCACGGCCGCCCCGTCAGATATGGGACGACGGTTGTTGGGCGATGTTCCGACGAAAGTCCGACGTGGCTCCGACGTGAATCTGACGCATTCCGACGCGAATCCGAACTGAATCAGGAGTAGATCCGACGTACATTGGATATCAAGTTGCCGTGCGAGGCCTCCAGGATTTCCCCCAAAAGCAAATTGAGGGAGGAGTCAGAGCAGCAAGACGAGTCGGAGGAGGGGGATGCGTTTGAGCTTCAAACTCCAGGGTGAGTCCGTCATGCCAGCTTGCTCTTCAGACGAGGCTGCGAGCACGGAGAGTCGCACACGCGTTGCAAAAACGGCTTCGCAGGTGCCGTGTGCTGCAATGTATGGACCAGCGCCGAAGGCTCCAGGGGCGGGTCTCAGAGGAGGAGAAGGTACCGATACCGCTTCCCTTCCCTCTTTCTCCTCTTTCTGGGCCTCCTGCGAGGCCCTCGTCGTCCCTGCGGGGTCCGCCTCAAGATCCTCGTCAAAGCGTTCCCCGAGAGAGGTCCAGGGAGTAGCGGTGTCGCTACCCTCTGCTTTGCCCAGGGTTCAGGCTGTCCGATGCCGGGAGACATGTTGGTGTCGCGGCGAGGGTGGAAGTGGAAGGGGCGGCGCTTGAGAAGGCCCGCCCCCTCTGCCTTTCCTCGGCGTCACCTCAACATGCTGATACCATATGTGCGTCGCCTTCCCCAGGGGCGACGCGCGCACCGAGAAATCTTACAGTATTTGCGTCGTGGCGGGCGCTGTCTGGCCACACCGCTCGGGAAACGATACACCACACGATAGGCATATTATATGTTCGGGTCGGACGCGCGCCTCCAAGGAGGACACACATAGCACTATATATATATACATATATATATATATATATATATATATATATGTGTATACTGTTAGTATGTCCCTGTGCGTCCCATCCCCCTCGGCGCGCCCCCGCGCGTGTCGCACGAGGGCCTCACCAGTCCCCGCCCCGCACGGGCCCGGTGTCCGGGCCCGCGGCGGCGCTCGCCCAGCGCGGCGGGCAGGGGGCGCGGCGGGGTTCGGCGGCTCACCCCGGCGCAGCGCGCGCGCGCGGCGGGCAGCGGAGCGGGGGCGGGGGCGCACCGTGCTGGTTTTTGTTCCCCAATCCGTGCTTGCAAGGAGGAGGAGGAGGAGGAGGAGGAGGAGGAGGAGGAGGGGGCAGCGAAGGGGCCCTGGGGGATATTTGGAGATTCGGGGGCAGCTTCCCGCCGAGGTTGGTCGCCGGCTGGGCTCCCGGGTTCCTGGTGCCGGGTTCCCGGGCTCCTGGTTCTCGGTTCCGGGCCGAGTTCGGTGGGTTCCGGGTTCCCGGGTTCCGGGTCGATCTCTGTATCGATTTCTTGATCGATCCCATGTCAAACCATCCACTGATTGGGGTTTTTCTCTGGTGTGATACATTGTTATTTTGAAGCGCTGCGGGCTATTTGGTGCCAGGCGATAGCAGAGGAGACGTGTCGATAGCAGACGCCAGCAGTCGCTACCAGGCGATAGCAGCCGAGGGCACGGGAAAGCAGACGCGAGGGACCGCAATGTGCCCACGGGCAACGACTGCTATGAGAGAGCGCGCCCATGGGACACTCCCAAGGGGGGGGGGGTCCCCTTTAGCTACCCCCCCCCCCTTGGGCCTCCCCTGCCCGAAGCCCCCCTACCCAAGTTTTTTCCGCCCCTAGGAGGCTACCCTCCCCTCTCCCCCCTCTATTCGCGATCCGGAAGCTCCCCCCCCGCCCCCGTTTCCAAAGGGGGGCGGGGCTGAGCCACATCCCCCCCCCTTAAACTCCCTTGCCAGAAGCCTCTCCTCCTCCTACTCCTCCTCCTCCCTCCCTCCCTCCTCCCTACCTCCCTCCCTCCCTCCCTCCCTCCTCCTCCTCCTCCTCCTCCTCCTCCTCCTCCTCCTCCTCCTCCCCCCTCCTTTTTCCCGCCCCCGTCGGGAGCCATCCCTCGCCCCCTCCCCCGTTCGTGCTCCAGGAGTCTTCCCCCCCCCCCCTTTCCCCCTCTGTCCAAAGGGGGGGGGAGGGGGGGCTTAGCTACCCGCCCCCCTGTTTGAACCCGCTTGGAAGCCCCCCCCCCTTTGGCTAAAGGAAGGGGCGCCGAAAGCCAGTAGGGCGCCGAGCAGCAACGGAGCGCGGAAAGCCACAGGGCCACCGAAAACCGGCAGGGCGCCTGTAGCCAGAGGCGCGCCCAACACCGAAGGAATGTCCCAGACCGAAAGGTCGCCGAAGACCGAAGGTGCGCCGAAAACCACAGGCGCAGCAGACTAAAGGAGCGCCGAAAACCAAAGGAGCGCCGAAAACCAAAGGAGCGCTGAAAACCAAAGGGGCGCCGACAACCAACAGGGTTCCGACAACCAAAAAGGCGCCGAAAGCCAAAGAAGAGCCGAATACCAGAATCGCCGAAAACCAAAAGAGGCGCCGACACCCAAGAAAAGGCTCCTAAAAGCAGCGAGCGCTGAACACCAAAGATGCGGCGAAAACCAACAGAGCGCCGAAAACCACAGCGCCGAACACCAATAGGGCGCCGAAAACCAACAAGCGCCGAAACCCAAAAGGGCACCGAAAAACAAAACGGCCCCGCAAACCAACAGGGCGCCGAAAACCAAATGGTCGCCAAACACAAGGGCACCGAAAACCAAAACGGCGCTGAAAACCAACAGGGTGCCGAAAACCAAGGGGGCGCCGAACACCAAAGATGCGGCGAAAACGAACAGAGCGCCGAAAGCCAGAGCAGCGCCGAAAACCAATGGGGCGCCGAAACCAAAGGGTAACCGAACTTCAAAAGGATGCCGCAAACCAAAACGACGCAAGAAACCAATAGGACGCCGACAACTAATCGGTCGCCAAACACCGCAAGGACACCGATAACCAAAAGGAGCACCGAAAACCAATAGGGCACCGAAAACCAAAAGGGGCACCGAACACCAAACGCGCACCGAAAACCAACACACGCCGAAAACCAAAGGGGCGCCGAAAACAAAAGGGGAGCCGAAGTCCAAACAGGCGCCAAGAACCAGAAGGGCGCCGAAAACCAAGAGGGCGCCGTAGAACAAAGGAGCGCTGGAAAAACAGAGGGACGCCGCAAACCAACAGGTTGCCGAACTTACCGGGTGCGCAGAAAACCAAAGGAGCACCGAAAACCAAAGGAGCGCCGAAAACCACAGGGGCGCAAACATACAAAGGGGCGCCGAACACCAACAGGGCGCCGAACAAAACAAACAACACCGACAACCAAAGGAGCGCCGAAAGTTAAAGGAGCGCCGACAACCAAAAAGGCGACTAAACCCAAGACATCGCCGAAAACCACAACGGCGCCGAAAACCAAAGGGGCGCCGAAAACAAAAGGGGTGCCGAAACCCAAACTGGCGCCGAGAACCAGAAGGGCGCCGAAAACCAAGATGGCGCCGTAGAGCAAAGGAGCGCTGGAAAAACAGAAGGACGCCGCAAACCAACAGGTTGCCGAACTGATCGGGTGCGCAGAGGCGCCGAAAACCAAAGGAGCGCCGAAAACGACAGGGGCGCCAAAATACAAAGGGGCGCCGAAAACCAAAAGGGCGCCGATCAAAACAAAAAAAAACGAACACCAAACTAGCGCCGAAAGTAAGAGGTGCGCCGACAACACAAAAGGCGGCGAAACCCAAGAAATCGCTGAAAAGCAAGGGGGCGCCGAAAACCAAAGGGTAGCCGAAAACCAGAAGGGCGCCGAAAAGCCAAGGGGCGCCGAAAATTACAGGAGCGCGGGAAATCAAGGAGGCGCCGAGAACCAATTGGGCTCCAACAACCACGGCTCCAAGAAGCAAGGATGCGCCGAAAACCACAAGAGCGCCAGAAAAAATCAGACGGCACCGAACACCAAAGGGGCGCCGAAGACCAAAGGAGCGCCGAACACAACATGAGCGACCCCCCGGGGGTACAGTCGGGGCCTTGAAGAAGGAACCCTTTTCGTTGGGGAGGGGCTCCGTGTTCCTTAAGTGTTTCACAGTTTGCCTCGGGTTTTCCTTATGTTTTCGATAGGAAATCGAAGTTTAACGTATGGAAAAAAGGGGCCTCGTTCCTTATTTAGGGTTCCTTAGGTCAACGCCCCGGCTGTATGGTTTTTTGGCCCGGGGCCTCCCCTGGACCGCCCCTCCCCACCCTCCCCGGGCCCCCCCCCGCAGGGAGGGGATCCTAGGGAAGTTGCTTCCCTTCGATTCAATTTCGGGGGCGGAAAAGAGGGGGGTGATGACTAGAAGGGGGCGGAAATCATGGCGGGGGTGACGATATTTCCCCAGATTTCATGGCGCCTCTTCTTATTTCGTTACGTTCCTGGCCCCCCCGCTGGGCCGCGCACATGCCGCCGGTCATGATTTGCACCCCCCCCTCTTGGACACCCCCCTCTTGGCCGCTCCCGACAATTGCGACGTGGCTGCGTTTCGCTTAGGCCGTTCCGTTTTGGCTGGCGCGCTGAAGGATGGGGGCCCAGGGGAAAGAAGGAGTGAGCGGCGATGGCGACGACAACGCCGACGAGTCAAGCGAAACAACCTCTTGCACGCGCCGACAGGGTCGGCGGATTTGCTGTTTGGCACGGCATCGTCCTCATGTGTTCCTCTCCATTGAGGGGGTGCCAGAAAGATGGTGCGATGGTGCAGATGAGTTCTGACTGCCTTCCTCAATCTTGTTGGTTTCGCATGGTTCCTTTGCACGACGGTTGGCATGGGTGCGTTGTCAGACAAGCTATCGTTGTAATCCAATGTTGATGAGACCGTGTCGGTGAGGAGGGAGGGTGTGATATTGAGTCAGGTGTTTCTTGAATATCTTGGTTCCTGCAGCAGGCCAGGCAGGCAGATGAGTGGCATGCCAGATGCACAGATGACACGCTTGGGCATGGACGAGCAGGACGAGCATGTCTGCGTTGCAATGTCATGCAGGGGAGGTGCTCCCCTTCGATGGCCCAGAGGTGGTGAAGGTCGTCGCAGCATGGCGTTCCTGTAATTGCGCCGGCAGCGCGCTCTTTGCCTGTGAGCGCCTTGATCTGAGGTGGGTTAGATGGATGTTTGCGTCCCGATCGTCTCTCCTGTCATCGAGCCACGTATCCACTTCATCAGACGTTCAATCTCAGGAGCGAAAGAAGGACGTACACGTACGTGAATCCACGTGGGTTCCGAAAATACGCATTGCGCGAACCTTCGTTTCACGCGGCCCGTCTCGCGGATTGGAGGGCCGTGCTCATGTACATGGTTGGGCGCGTACGTCTTTGTGCGGGCTCCCCACAATTCGTGCTGCACAGTCGGCCCGTATGGTAAGAGTGGGCAACCTTCCCAATGGTGCCCTTATATCCTTCCCTCCTCGGTACATGCTTGGCCGCTTTCGTTGGACACGCCCCGCTCGAAAAGCCTCGCAGCGGGCGTCCGAGGGCCTGTGCATCCCTGGTGGAAATCCTAGCGATGCGGGCCGACTGCGCCGCTCGTGCACGGTCCGTGCCGCCCCGCAGCGGCAGTTACCTCACGGCTGGATCTTGTTCCCCGTGGCGCGGCCCCAGGGGGCCGACTCTCTCTCCGGAGCTAGCTTGTTTCCCTCCCGGACAGATCGTTGCTCGACCCAGGACTCACGATGCTGTTCCAACCTAGTTCACCCTCAACCACCAAAAAGAAGTTCGAGCACCAATCAAGTACCGAGACTTGGGGGTTTTCACGTGTCGGGCCCTGGCAGACGCTCGTTCGACACTGTTTCGACACTGTTTCGACAACTCTTTTTTGACACTTTTCTGGGTGCTCGACATTATTTCTGGGATGTGGTCTTTAAGTACGATTGGAGCAAGATAACTTGGGACAAAATTTCGGGGGTTCGAAGGTCGGGGGCGGCCAAGAAAGGTAGTGATGACTGGCGGGGGGCGGATACCATGGCGGGGGCCATGATATTTCCCAAGATGTCATGGCCGCTCGTCTTATTTCAATACGTCCGCGCACATGCCGCGGGCCATGATTTGCGCTCCCCCCCCTCGTGGACCCCCCCCTCTTGCCGTCCCCGAGTAGGCGGGGTCTGAAGGTGGGTCCAGGGAACGAGTCCTGTTGTATGCTTACGTGTCCTTCCAGGGGCCGTTCGGAGCGGGCTTTCCCACTTCTGCCCCTGCCCCATGCCTTTACGCCCTGCCGACAAGCACAGGAGGGAGGGAGGAGGGAGGGAGGAGGGAGGGGAGGAGGGAGGAGGAGGGAGAGGAGGGAGGAGGGAGGGAGGAGGGAGGAGGGAGGAGACATTTGTCGGCGGCGAGGCCAGGGGTGGAAGTGAGAGGGAGCAGGCCTTCTCAGAGGGTGGCGGGCCTCTCAGCAGTCCTCGCGCCGGCTGAGAAGCCGTCTGTGGCCTCGGAGGAAGCGCGGGGAGCTTCTCACGGGGCGCGAGGGCTTCCGAGAAGCCCCGCCGCTCTCCGAGAAGGCCCTCGAGTCGGCCCGGCCGACAGAGGGCAGAGCCAGACGGTGAGGGCTGCTCGGGCGGGGCGGAGGCTTTCTCGTGCTGCGCACGCAGGCAGTATGTAGGTCTTCGCGTCGATGGCATCCCCCTCCTCCTCCTCCTCCTCCTCCTCCTCCTCCTCCTCCCCTCCTCCTCCTCTCCTCCTCCTCCTCCTCCTCCTCCTCTCCTCCTCCTCCTCCTCCTCCTCCTCCTCCTCCTCCCCCTCCCCACTCCCCCCTTGGCTCGCCGCCGAATCTGGGCCTGCAGTTGCTGATGCCTCGAGATGGGCCCGGCGCGCGGCCGCGTCAGGACGGCGCCGCCATGCCGCGCCGCGCGTGCCTCCACTTCTGGGTGCTGCTCGCCACGGCGGCCGTTCCCAGAGCGGGCGCGGGCACGCCCTCTCGAACAAGAAAGAGCGGCGTACACACAAACTTTTTGGCGCTCCGCGCGGATTTCTTGAATCCGCGCTGGGCCTCCGAGGAGGAAAAGGCACCTCTCTAACCCAGAACTCTACCCTTCCCTCGTTCTCCCCTTTTTGGGCCTCCTTGGCCTCCGTCGTCGCCACCGCTGGATTCGCCTCGAAATTCTGGTCAGAACGCACCCCGGGAGAGGTCCGAGGGGCAGCGGTATCGGTATCTGTTGGTTTCCCCAGGGCCCCCCCCGGCGGCGCCTCGGCTCGGGCGCCTCCCCTGGCGCGCTCTCGGCGCGCCAGGGAGGGGGGCTCCGGCCCAGATCCGAGGGATCCGCGCGGAGCGCCGCAAATTTGTGTGCTATGCTTTTGTTTCTTTTGTTCTGCCCTCTGCAGACGCCCCGGCTATGAAGATGCTTGGGTGCGACGCGTGCCAGAGTTGGAGTCGGCTGGGAGGCCGAGGTGCCCCTTGGGGGGCGCGTAATGGAGGGGCGACTCCTGTGGGGGCAGCGAAGGCTGCGGAAGAGGAGCGCTTTAGGGCCCCCAAGGGGCCCTGCAGGGCACCAAAGGGGGCCCTTCGGGCCCGAAAATGACACCTCCTTACCCCCCCCCCACGATCGCCCCCCATGAATAAGCGCCCGAACCCCAGCACTGGCTCCAACCAGCAGACGGGGGGGGAAGAGCCCCCCCCGTCGCCACGGCTGCGCGCGGCTCGAACGACTCGTCGCTGTTGGCCCGGGTATGGCTCCTGGGGAGCGATGTTGGGGGATTTTGCGTTCTTCCTACCTGCTGGACGATTTTCTGTGGGCCCATCCAGCTCGGACCCCCCGGCCGCCTCCAATGGCAGAGTGTCATGAAGACCTTGTCGAAGGATGTAAAGTACCTGGTGGAGACTGGCAAAATGTGGAAGGCCAAGGACTTGAACGAGCGGATCGGAATATCCTGCAACGACCCAGCGCTCCCCACAGGCGCCATGCGGGACGCGTGCGGCTACATGATACAGGCGCATGGCAAGGCCTCGGGGAGCAAATCATGGCAGAAGCATAATCTTTCGCAGGTTCGCTGGGACTTTTCAGATCGGCGCTGAGGCCCCCCTGGCGGCGCGATACGCGCGCGATTGTGGGGGGGCTCCAGCGCCTAGGCCCAGCGCAGGGCAGAGGGGTCGAGACCTTCGAAAGTTTATGTGAATGCCATCAGTTGTTCCTCGAAGGCCATCGCTGCGGAGGTGGAAGAGCACTGGACAGAAGAGTCAGACAAGTTTGAGGAGGACCTCGTGCCGGATGAGTTCTGCAAATCGGTCGGCGCTTGCAAGGATTACCAGCCTGAAGCACATCCTTATCCCTATTCAGAGGGCAATTCCTGGGAGGTGAAATTTCAAATCGACGCTGGCATGTCCACTGACGAAAACCAGACTGGTCTGCCCGAATCTGGTGGAATCTTAATTTCACCTGGCTGAATGCCGCTGAATCACTGGCTCAGTCCAGGCTAATCCAGCTGAAGGGCCCCCCTGAGTTGCTTAACAGCCCTTATTCTGGCAAAGATCTTCCACAGGTTGCCTCCTAACCCTCTGGTTGCCACTACTGTATTTTGGTGCCGATCTTGAGGTTACCCTGAGTTTTGAGGGCGTATCCCTGAGTTGCCATCGCCCTGGGCTTGCCAATCTTAGGGATAGGGATAGGATCGAGGTCGGTCAGAGGAGGGACAACAGACGCTCAGCCAGATTATGGCTGAGAGTTCCCGGAAGGACAAGATAGAGAAAGAGGCGAAAGCGGATAAAGAAGCCAGCATGAAGTTGGCGAAGGAGGCGCTTAGAGAAGGTGGTGCGGGCGACCTTGTGAAAGAGTTGAACAAAGAAGACAAGATGAGGAAGAAGAAACAGGCTAAGCTCGACAAGACAATACATGACAGGGCCCAAGCACACGGTGCCGACCCGAAGGATATGTTGAAGATGGACAAGGAGGAGGGATTCAAGAAAGCAAAGGAGAGAATGAGATCTGGTGCGGCGGAGGGAATTCTGAACCAGATGCAACAGGATGTCCCAGATGTTCTCAAAAAGACCGCGGCAAAGAAAGAAAGTATGGCAGCGTCGCATACCGAGCTGTGATGAGACCGGAGGTGCTCGGGAAGGCTATCGTGATATCGGCATGCGGAGCAGCGAGCCAACGTTGATCCGAGGAGTATGTTTCCGCGTGAGGTAGCTTCACGGGCTATACATAGATGTTGCAGCTGTCTGGGGTTCTGAGTTGGCCCAGCACCGGTTCCAGCCAGCAGGAAGGGCGGTCATATTCGAGGCTCTGGCTTCAGGAGGGTCTTTTGGCTTTTTCAAGCTCCAGGGACCGTTTTCGGACCCCAGGACCGTCAAAAACGGATCTGGGGTGGAGAATTGCACCCGATGGGCCGCGGGAGGGGTCCAGGACCCGATTTGGAGCCGATGCGGCTCCATCCCCCGTCCTGACATATTATTTGGGGTCCCTACCATTTCAGACCCCCTGGCCGCCTCCAAGATGGACGTAGCGCGCAACGGTATGTGACTCTTCTTCTCAAGCTTGCGGTACGTGACTTGATACTCGTAGAAGCACCTCCCGCGCACAAGAGACTTACACGCGAGTTCAGGTCTCAATACGACCGCTGCCTGCAATCACAGTAAAACTCTTGAACGTTGGGTCATGCGCATAATCTTTCTTCGTGCTGTTTTGCACATCGCCTGATCGGTGCCGCGTTTCTCTCATAGGCGTCATCAGTCATGGCAATTCCGCGCGGTCGGGGAGTGCGATTATCAATTTGATTAGTCAGAATTTGCGGTTCGTTCCGCAGAGGTATGCATCCCGTATTTTGGACCTTGAGTATTTTTCGGAGTGAAGGTTGAAGACGGCCCACGAATCTAAATTACAAGTTGCCCATTGAGGGCCAGCAAGCGCTGTTCTTTTCACGTTATCTTTCTTCGCAACGCGTCGTACGAGGAGCTCGGCGGCCTCCTCTTCTGTCGCTTTGCTGTCCAATGCTAACTCCAAACAGTGGGCTCTTCAGTTCTCGATTCATATTGCTAAGGCCTGACGGCCGGTGCCGCCGACCCTGAAGACAACGACGACGAATACCAGGAGGAGGAGGAGGTGGAAGGGAAGATGTTGGTTCCCCCCCCCTCTCCCCACCCCCCGCAGCCTCCTTAGCACCCGAAGGGTGGTCGTATAGGTGGTCGGGGGATGTTTTTTGAGTAGGTTTGAATATTTATTGGAGTATGCTTTGCCTATTGTTTGGTTGTCGTCCAAAATCCGCCTGTAGGGGGGACACGCCCGACCTAAAACTGGCATGCAGCCCGAAATTTGCGCCAGATCCGTTACGGGAGAAGAGTTTCTTTCACGAGTGGAGGGGGTCTGATCCTTGTCAGCGCGTGGGCGGCGTGTCACCGCCGTGCGACCAAGTGTTTGGCGAAAGTGTGATCATGCTGCTGGCTTTCGGTCGGGCCTGTCCCTGCACAGAGGGGGAGTTTCAAACATAGTCAGAAAATAGTCTGGGGACGAGTTGTTTTGAGTATGTTCGAGCATCCTTTGTATATGTTTGTTATCTTTCCATTCAAAGTCCGCCTGTATAGCGGAGACCTATGCCAAGAAACACCCTGCTTGCCCCCAGGGTGCCCTGGTTCCCTTGGGTCTTCACAGTTTTGCTATGAGAAGCGTGCGGTTCCCCCACCAGAAGCCAATGGACGTCCTGCGGTCTCCGGATTGGGCTCCCTGTGGAAGGTTCCTTGTGGTCGAGCCCTTACTGCAGGGACTCGGATGCAACTCCTGGGAGGTCAGATTCTGATTTCGCCCTGGTCCGAAATCTGGCTTAATCTGGTTTAATCCCGCTGAATCCCGCCAAATCCAGCTTAATCCCGCCTGCTCCGGCTTAGTCCCGCTTGATGCGAGGCCCAATCTGGCGCATCAGCGCCCCATTTGGACTGAATCCTCTCTAACCCTTCCGGCGAAGACCTCCCAGGAGCTCCTATAGGGGTGACACGCCCGACCCGACGCTGCCGGCTTGCAGCTTCTCACCACCCACCAAACCACCCCAACCCAACCCGAAGGCTCAGATTTACCCTCGATTTCTAGTGGGGGGGGGTCCGGGAACATCGAAAAAACACACATGGCGCCCATACCCCCCCCCCAACCAGAAATTCGGGTCTTCGGGTTGGGTTGGGGTGGTCTGGAAGGTAGCCCTTTTTTTCATCGGCGTTCGGAGCGGCCGTCGTCGGGCGGGCTTGTGCCCGCCTTGGGGCCGGGGGGCCTCCCTTGCTGGCCCTCTTCGGACTTGAGTGGGGGCCCTGGGGCCTCCTGGGTCATTTTTGGAGCTTCTCGGGAGGAGGAGGCGGAGGAGGAGGAGGAGGAGGAGGAGGAGGAGGAGGAGGAGGGGGAGGAGGAGGGGGAGGAGGAGTAGGAGGAGGAGGAGGAGGAGGAGGAGAAGGGAAGAGGAGGGGGAGGAGGAGGAGGAGGAGGAGGAGGAGGAGGAGGAGGAGGAGCAGTTTGAAGCCCTGTTTTGCCGTCTTGGGGCTCTGTCGGACCATGTGGAGCCCGCCCTGATAGAGGCCCTCGCGGTCCTCGTGCCGTCTTGAGACTTTGTTCCCGACTTGGGGACCTTTCGTTGTGATCCTTGGGGCCGCATTTGGGGTATATCGAGCCATCTTGGGCGTTCGGAGGCCACAAAGCAAACAACAAACATCGGAGCCGAAAGCATCTCCGTAACCCTATGGCCGCCCTCCGGTAAGGATGTTCTGGGTGGGGGTTGACGAACTTCTCACTCAATCGATCGCACGATCGATCGCACTATCGATCTCACGATCAAAACCACTATCGATTTCACTATCGATATCACGATCGATCTCACTTTCGATCTCACGACCACTCACGACTGGTCCTTTGGCCTAGTTTTGGCCTGTTTGAGGCGTCTTGGGGGCCTGTATGGGGCCTCTTGACACTTCTTTTTTGGCCTCTTGGGCGCCTCTTGGGGCCTCCTGGGGGCTCCTTGCGGCGGAAGGTTCAAATTTTCGAGCTGTGCTCCGTCTCTTTGGCCCCTTTCGGGGCCGTGTTGGGTCCCTCTTGGGCCGTCTTGGGCGCCTCTTGGGCCGTCTTGGGGTGGTCTTAGGCCGTCTTGGGGCATTCTTGAAGGCCTCGTGGGCTGTCTTGGGGTGGTCTTGGGGGCCTCTTGGGCCGTCTGGGACCGTCGAAAAGCAGGACAAACGAGAGCGCCTAAACTGGTCAAAACCCGTAGGAAAGTCACTGATGTTTGCCTCTTGGGGCCTTCTTGGGAGACCTCGTGGAGGCCTCTTGTGGCGTCTTTGAGGCCTCTTGGGCCATCTTGAAGCCATTTTGTGGGTCTTGGAGGGTTCGTTCGGCGACTCGGATCCCTCGTGGACTCATTGGAGGGTTCGCCAGGTCGCTTTTGGGTGGGTGGGCATATCGTCACACGGAGACACGGCAAACATCTAAGAACTCACGGAGTTTAGCCCAGAAAAGCCAGGGAAACGATTTGCCCAGGCCTTCAAAGATTTACAGCTTTCGTTGCAGCAGCAACATCGCGTGTACCTCACTCCCAGTGGCACGGTGGCGGAAACCAATATATACATGTTTATATATGTATATATATACTCACATTTGTGTTCACACATACATGCACGAACATTAATGTACATTCACATAGATATACACACCTTCATGTATATATACATAAATATACACATATACATACACTTCTACGTAAACATATACGCATACATGCACATGTACATAGGCATACACATATATACATATACATTGTCACACATATTTATATAGTTATTTGCATACGCTATGCACACACTTATGGGGTGTAAAGATACTCCTACAGATGTTGTCACACGCAAATTATATATATATACATATATACATATATATCTATCTATATATATATATATAGTTATAGGTGTGTGTATATATATATATATATATATATATATATATATATATATTCCTCTTATGTTTGTTACAAGACCCGGCGGGGGGTAAACCTGTCCCCCCCCCCAAACCGGACTCCCGGGATCTGGGGCTTTGGGACCTTCCGGACGGGCCTCGAAGCGGCTCCCCGGGCCTCGCAGGGCGTTTTGCCAAGCCTTCCCAGCACACCTAGGGCGATCAGGGGGGTCATCGGAGACGTCCCGGAGACACCCAAGACAGCACAAGAGCGCTCCAAGAGTGACCGATTTGACCTCAAGATGGCCCAAGAGGCCTCCAGGACGCCCCCAAAGAGGCTTCCAAGAGCACTCCCAAGAAGGCTCCAAGAGGCAAAAATCATTGATTTTATGTTGGTTTTTGGTGAATTTTGGGGTTCTACTCTTTTCGGCTTCCCGACGCTCCAAGACGGCGGTCTTCTGGGCGTCCGAAGCCGCCTGGGAGGCTCCCAAATCGCCCCACAACCATCCGAAAGGGCTTCCAGGCAGTCCAAGAGAGCCCCCAAACGGCACAACACGGGTCCAACATGGCCCTCAGAGAGCCCCATGGCGGCCCAAGATGGCCCCAAGACGATCTCCGAAGCATTCCAAATCGTGACCGGATCGTTCAGGGAGACCGCGGTTAGAGGCAGGATGGCCCGAGGAAGCCCTCAGAGGCCCCCAGAATACGCCCAGGAGGCGTCCAGAAGGCCTTAAGAAAGCCTGAAACAATTTTTGTGAGGCCCCCAGAGGCTCTCCAATGAGGAGCCTCCGCAAAAAAGAGCTGAGGAGGATGGGGAGAATGCGCAGGGTATGGCGAACATGAGGATAAAGAAGCATGGAGGAAGGATAGCGAATAACATTACTATAGCGACGATGCCGGAAACGGCAGCAAGGAGTTATCGCTGAATTGTCGGCCTGCTATTCCGCCTCCATGCCACACTTCAAGGATCAAGGTGCGTGGCGCGAAGCGCCACTGCAGTCTTGTGTATATATATATATATATATATGTGTGTGTCTATGTGTATATATATACATATGCACATACATCGAGAGAGAGAGAGAGAGAGAGAAAAAGAGAGAGAGAGAGGAAGAGAGAACCGCCACGGCACTGCCGCTCACGCCCCGATCTTCGACGGTGCCCCGCCCCCGCTTGCGGGCGGCCCCGGGCTTTGCCCGGGGCGCCTCCCCGTGGCAGGGGGCGGCAGCGGCCACGCCGGCGACCGCGGCGGACCACGACGGCGACGGCGGCCCAAGGCGGAAGTTCGAAGTTCGGGGTTCCAATAGTTTAGGAGGCAACTGCTGGGAGGTTTTTGTCGGAAGGATTGAGGAGGATTCAGCCCCATTGGGGGGCTGTTGCGCCAGAGTGGGCTTCGGATCAAGCGGGATAAAGCCGGATTAACCGAGATTAAGCGGGATTGTGCCGCATTAAGCGGGATTTCGGACCAGGGCTAGTTCAGAGTTTGACCTCCCAGGAGTTGTATCGGAAAAGGTTCGAGGTTTGCAAGCGTCCTCGTCGGATCGCGGCGGTTTTCAGGCCTCGGGGTGCCTTCTGGCAGCTGCGCCCCGCTCGGAGCGCTCTGGGGGTGCCCGGATTGACGCGACGGGCCGCCAGAGGCCCGAGTTATGCGGCCCAGCAGTCGGCTGTGAGACCCTGGCGTTTGTCATTGCGTCCCAGCCGGGCGCTCGCCCGGCTTCGGGTGCCCGGGGCCCTCGCAGATCGATGCGGCTGGAGACATGGCGCGGGAAGGCGGGGGGCATGGACTCGGTCGTAATCTGTCACGATGTTGCATTTTTGTTCGTCGCGTCCGATCTCAAAGACCGCCGTCCTGTCGCCCGTCGCCGCCGCCGCCGCAGACGTCGTCGTCGTCGTCTTCGCCGTGCTCGCTGGTCGTCGGTGGTCGTCGTCCTCGTCGGCTGTCCTCTCGCCAAGTATCACTTTTTGAAGACCCGCGCCGGGTTCTTGTATCGTCATTGGGGCCCGTCTGGCGGCGCCTCCGGAGCAGCGTCAGGGAATGTCATGGGTCCGTCGTTAATCCAAGAATTCCGCGCTGACCACCAAAAGCTCAAGCTTATGATTTCGCTGCTCTTCTAAACAGGGGCAACGTTAGGGTGGCATGGGGTCAGGGATGGGCGCATCGATTTCCATTCGCCCACTCATCGCCGAGGGGGGGCCGATAGGCCCACTCCGCCTAGGTCTTTGCGCTAACGGGGGCCTACCACCGATCTCTAGGCAATGTATCGTCGATTCCGTGTCGATGTTTTCTCCCTCAGCTGGTCCCCTATCTTTGTTCTTCGCGCTGGACGTCGGTCGTTGTGTTCGTCAGCCGTCCTCTCGCCATTGTTGTCCTCGTCGGCCGTCCTCTCGCCATGAAGCGGATGTGCACCGGTTGTAACAGGTCCAGAGTTTTGGCCGCTGTTATCGAGCTCTCGGTGCCCTCCCCAGGCTGCAAAAATAACAAGGAAGTCATACACACGGGGTCGCGAAGGGCAATCAACTCCCATGCGCGCGAGCCCTCCAAAATGCGGCCTCGTTTCAGGTCAAATTGAAGCCTTGGCCTTGCTCTCTCCAAATCGAAACACGGACTGGGCGGAGTCGGTGGCAAGCGAGGGGGGGAAGTGGGAAGTGAGAAGGAGAAGGCCGTCTCGAAGGCCACGGGACTTCTCAGAAACCCTTTGGATTTCTGAGAAGTTTTCTTTGCCTTCGGGGAGGGTTTCGAACAAACTTCTCAGACGGCTGGGGGGCTTCCGAGCCTTCTGAGAAGGCCTTCTCCTTCGCATTCCCTCCCCGCGCTCGCCCCCAGCGGACGGGGGGGGAGGAAGTACAGTCGGCCCCGATTAGTAGGTCGACCCTGCCAAATCAAGGGTACCTTTGTGTCCTGTGACTCGCGACCCGTGCCTCCTGCATTCCTATGGGCATGTGGCCCTCGGAAGGGTCTTTTGTCCTCCTGCGTGTCTTCTGAGACGGCCTTCTCCTTCTCATTCCCTCCCCTCGCTCGCCCCCAGCGGACGGGGGGGGGAGGAAGTAAGGGAGGAGGGGAAGCTGGACGCAGGACCACCGAGAGTGGCTCACGGGGAAGGGCTGCCCCACCACGGGGGAGGCCCGTCGGGTTCAGTGCCCGTTCCGCTCCCGGCGCGTCTGTTTCATTCCAATGCTTCGTCGTCGTCGGAGGAGGAGGAGGATCAGAGGAGGAAAAGTTACTCATACCTCTACTGTTCCCTCGTTTTCCCTTTTTGGG